AACGTACAAATTATAAAAATCGATTTTTTAACTTAAAGTAAAATTTTTTAGCATTGCATATTTTTAGGCGCACAAGTCGCAAATGAAACTAACCCCTAAATTGCAGTCCGACTTCTATAAGAATGTTTTTAACCACTCACCAACTGAGTTGCAATCCATCTTCCCCAGTCACACACGCTATCAACGTTATTGTATAATTTATAAGAATATTATCCGCCGCCAACTGTAAAGCCTGCCCTTTTCTGCTGCCTAACAAGGCAAAGAGAAATTGAATCCTCAAACTTATTTTTGTCATTACAAACTTCGTTCTACTACTACTGTCACTCTCTCTTTCTAGAATATTAGCTTATGATTGCAGGTGTATTTGTTATTGTTTGTAAAATTTCTGTTTTCTTTTTTCATTGCATGGATTTATTGTCTCGACTTTCTACCTGCTGTCATTAGCGATGAGTGATGGTTGCGCTGAGTCATGGAGTTCTGTTGTTTTGCTGTTATTATTACTATGTGTGTACAATATTAGTTAATAAATATTGTAAGTGTGGGGGGTAGAGCCCATTTACGAAGGTGGTTGGCAAAATGGCGATTTTGCATATTTTATGAGCAATTAAATTGACAGGGAGGCATGAACGCGAATATGTACAAGTAGATATGTGCACACAACAGTCAATTTGTTAAAATGTTTTGTGACCTAAAGTAATTATTTTAGCTGATTTTTTGGAAGTTAGTAATTTGCAATATGAATTTGCAATATGAACTGTAAATTACATTCATTATTTATTAATAAAAATAATAAATATATATATCAATAAGGAAAAAAGGTAATTAAAAATATATAAAAAAAAAATACGTATTTCCAAAAAAAATGAGTAGACATCGGTTTCAGACAATTTTAAGAATATCACTTCGAGAATCCGTTAATGGAGAAATTTGTTTGAGAAGATTTTGTCATACAGCAAGTGTCTTCACTAATAACACTATACAACACGCGGCTGGATAATGTACCAAACCAAGATTTTCGAAATAATTAAGTAAAGTTAAAGGTAAAAAAGTAATTTATTCGTTTGTCGAAGTTAGCCTCGAAATTCGAAGTGAGATATTGAGTTTTTAAAAGCTTTATTATTAATTATAGTACGTAAGCTTCTAAAAGAATCAAAAATGGATATCATTCAGCTTTTTCTCTTATGTCATTGGTGTATATTTTTCGATCAAATCGCATCAAATTTTTAAGAGGCCTAATATTGATCGAAAATAAATATTTCTGACTTTGAAAAACAAAGAAATTACTGTTTTACTTATGACTTAATTTCTCGAAAAACTGTGGTTAAGTCCAAGACCCATAAAAGAGACGTTTTTGTCGTACACCCAACTAAGCCCATGATACTTCAAGAGATACAAATGATTTAGAACAGTACTTTTATTATAATAATATATCTTAAACAGAGTTTGTGGCTTGTCATGCCTTCTGATTGGCATCTACAAATCAAAAGATATGCCGAGCTGCCAACACTAGATAAAGTCCGAAAAGGCATAACTTAGTAAACTTGCAAACCCCTATGGATAATGGAATAAATCTAGCTTAGAAACTTACAGTTTAATAGAACTCGACAGACTGGAGCAGGATAACGGCAAAAGCTACACTCAAATAGAAAGAACCTCAATGAAACCGTCTCGGCAGTTTGCGATTGTAGATTTTAATTAATTCGTGGTAAGCCACTGCATTGACTCTAAGCTCGCTGAATCTAAGGGAGCAAATCCACATTTTCTTTTCAGGTACTAAATGGAGTTACTTCTTAAAAGTGCTTCGTTATGGAGTTCTCTCATCTACAAAGTATAATACTGAGCTCACATTTTTCGAAGGTAATAGTAACATCATCTCAACTCACAAAAAGTTATACCGTATGCTTTAGTTGAACACTATATTAACCTTTAAACTTTAATACAAAAGACTCATCTTGAAAACCCTCCGTAAGGTTGTACGGCTATGTGACACTGGTCTGATTTCGGTTTCGCCGATTTTGTTCCGGTAATTTCGATGTCAATTTGGAACAACAATTGCTGAAAATATCAATAAAATGGAAATCGCCGAGTCCGAATTTCCATCTATGTATCTTCAATTCTGAAGCGAAGGATTACTGGTGATGAAACATGGATCACTTACGACAACGCCGAGTGAAAATGAACGAATGGCGGTGAGCCAGGATTGACGGTCTCCTGACTAATTTTGCTCTGCGTTTGGTGGCATGGTCTACTATGAGTTGCTGTTATGCTTCCAAACTCTGACTTTGAACCTGTACTGTCAACAATTGGACCGTCTCAAGGAAGCATTTGCCCAGAAGCGGCCAGCTTAGGTCAACAGGAGAGGAACTTTGTTTCATCAGGAAAACACCAGCACAAACGTCGCTAGCGACTCACAAGAAGTTACGACGGCTAGATTGAAAGATGTTTATGCATACACCTTATAGACTGGATTAGTTAACAAGTGATTACTAACTGTTACTGTATATGGCGAATGATATTTAGGGTAAAAAATTCGCGTCAAGATAAGCTTGGGAAAATCGACGAAATCACCTGCAAAATGACACCATGTTAATTTTTAAGTCTTTATTATTTAGTCGTTATTTTAAACAACGAAACAATTTCATTTTAATGCAACGCGGCAGGTCGCGCATAATAGAAATAGAAATCCACCAGGTAATATTTGTAGAAATAATAAGCGTCTAATTAAAACAGAAACCTCAAAAACATGCAACTGAAACTGAACTCCACGAACAGAAGACTAATAACGTCGGCAGTGAATAAACGAGCGAACTGTATTAAAAAATAGTGGTCGGCAAATGAATATACATATGTATATGGTATACCGCTGTGCGTGCATAAAATTCATTTGTTCCCTCGCAATTACCGACTTTTACAGGCAAAACTTTTTATCTGAATAGTTTTTTCAATTTATTAACTTTTTTACGGGCACACAGCGTTGCCACACTATCGCTGGTCGTACCGAACACTTGTGGCTGAAACAATAACTACACCCAAGGCGCCACACATACATAAAAGCCATCATTTATTCCTTCATTTGCTACTCATTCATATAATCACTTGAAATGTTTGTTGACTGACACATGACCAGTCAAACTTTTCCCATCAACCAAACCGGACTTGCCACTTTTTCGCTGCAACCCTGCAGCAGTTTTACCGCTTTTTTTTTGTTTTTTTTGCAAAAACCGAAGTAACCAAAGAGCAACCAGCGGTAAAGGTGTGCAATTTGCGGTGTAATTAAAATCAACACTGTGGCAAGGTGTATGCACATATACATACACACATACAAACATACTTAAAATATACTTAAATTCGTATATGAGCATTTATCAGTACGGTAGTCAACGCTGTTGAAATGATATTAGCACACGCTTCCGTTCGAAGGACGCTTACGAAGCTGTCGTACGAGCGCTTGCATCAACTTTGACCGACACAAAATTGCTATGAAAATCACTCGAATGTCAATAATAGTGTTAGTTGAAGTCAATTGCTCTTTCAACTCTGGCTCGCGCTTCTTGTTAATCTTCTATATTTGATCTTCTTAGCACAAAATGAGTAAAGTTTTAGCGTGGAGAAGTTGAAATGTGCGAGATTTGAACGACTCTTTCGGAGTTTGCAGTGGAATATATAATAAACGAGTGAAATTTCAAATTAGGAGCAATAAAATGAAACTGTATATTAAAAAACAAAAAAATTCAAATACAAAAAAGTAGATATTAAAGAGATTATCTAAGCGAAAATATTCAAATAAGAGCAAAAAATTCACACTAATTCATTATTAAATTCAATTTAATTGGAGGTGATTATATTATTTCAAAAAATTTATTGACAAAAATGCGATCGAAAGCTTTTGAACGCTTTATTAACTTTTAAAATTATGATATAAATTTGAAAAGATAGCGCACGTTTCGAAGATAGAGCTGGCGAATGATAACTTAGCTAATCTGCATTGGAAATGAAAACGAAATAATGAATATATAAGCTGGCTTCGATTTGGTAAGCTTTGGAGAGTAGCCAATCGAACAGGCAACACTTGTGGTGCAACCGCGCGGGCATGTATAGGAAAGCTATCTTTTAAGTTGGATCAAACTGGATACAGTGTGCTAAATTTTACTAAAATCGGTTCTGTAGTTTAGGAGTTGCCTTTGGAGAGAACGTGACACATAGTATATATATATATACAATATATATAAATGTTATAATTGATTTTAAGTCTTAAGTTTTTAAAATCAAAGAATAAATCATATCATCATCAAAATCATAAGCCATTTACAATAGTAAAGCTGATCTTAGACATGCGAAACAAAACGTGCTAGACTTGAAGATAGCGGTTATACCACTTTAAGGAAGTATTCGCATACTCTTGTGTATGAGTTCAACGAGATTTTGAAGAATTTCTTTTGAAGAGGCATTTTATTTAAGAGATAAATAAAATATATGTACATTTATAGATTTGCATGTACGGCGATTAATCTTGAATAATTTTGATAATGAACGAAGGTCTACAAATAATTTTTGTTGTGAAAAAATTTACACTTTAGTGTTGTTAAAAAAGTCATTGTTTCGATACTGTCCTGTGAAAATTCCATGCGTTTCGAGAGAAAAGCGTTTAAAACTTTGAAGCGCCGATTACACCAAGTTAAAAGTATCTTACAAATACGCTCATATCTCCGAAACCGGATCAACTTCATATTTCCTGAGAATATTCGCAAATATCTATACGTCTTCGATATATATATCTATAAAAAAATAATTTTTGAAAATTCACAAGTGGAATAACCCCTTAAACCAACGGCTATTGGCACAAAAGTTGTTGCTTTGCATAGAGAGAAGTATAGCCCTATATAAGTTAGCGCTCTTTACTTTGTCCAAATTTACAAATATAAAACATTCTACCTCATTTTATAATCGTATAACTCGTTCAGAAGCAAATTGTTTTTGCACATATATTTCTTTATTCTTACCTTGCAGTTCGTTAATTCTGTGATCTAGTCACACGTGCTGTTAATTCGTTGATGGAAATTTGTTATGACGAGTTTTTACGAATCAGTCCACTGAAATACAGTAATAAATAATTAAGATTAGCGTTAATTTATGCAGAAACCTTAAAACATACCATAAAAGAGCATCTCATCACTACTAAAGAAAGCAATTATAAGTTTTTAATAGAAGTTTGAAAAATAGCAAGTACATTTTCAACAGCGTTTGGGAAATAACTACCAGATTTTTAGACTTTTAAAATTATTATGGTAATTATCGGATTCATAACAGTAATTTGAAATACAGCTATGAAATTTTTAGCTGCTACTAAGAAATAACAGGTAGATGAAACAAAAAAAAAATCAGCTAATATTGTCGTTTTGGGCACTTTCTGATAAAACTTACCAACATCATTAGGGTGGAGCGAAAAAAAAAATTTTTTTTTTGGCTTAGCCTAGGGGTAAAATCTGTAGATTTTAAAATTAGAAAATTTTTGACCAAAAAATAAAATTTTTTTTTAACATCTACCACACAGTTTTAAAGTATATTTTCGAGTTAAAATTTTAATGTCGCAAAAAATTTTTGATAAGTGTTTTAGGAGCTGTGGAAAGTCCTCTTTCTGGCCAATTAAAATTTATCAGCTTAAAAAATGTTTTTGTGGTCATTATTGGAGTTTAAAAAAAAAAGCCTTAAATGACCACATGCTTGCCTTAAGCGTTAAAATAAATTTTGAAAAACCGTCAAATTCGATATATTTTATATACACGTGAAGAGTTTTAACCGAAAAAAATTTTAACTCGAAATTTACTTCACAATTTAATGCACCGCTCTTCTAGGTGTTAAAAAAAATTTTTTTTTGTCCAAAAAATTTATTTTTTTAGTAATCTACAAATTTTACCCCAAGGCTAAGCAAAAAAAAATTTCGCTCCACCCTAATAGTCATGTATGTATACATTTTTCA